CTTGCAGTCCCTTTCAACATAGTTTGGGGTTTCCATTATGTACCAGTATGAAACCCAGTGGATACTTCTCAGATGTTCCATGTGGATCAGGTGCCCTGTGACACATGAAGAGTGGCTTTAGTGAGTCACAGATTATATCCTGAGGGATCACCTGAGGACCTCAAAGTCATGGCTGAGTGTGACACTGAAGAAAGAGACAACACAGTTCATGAAGAAAAGGGAGCGAATGCTATTGCCAATACTATAATATAAAAAAAAAAAAACAGAAAAGAGGGAAGTATGAAGAAGATAAGAAAAAATCTTTAAACAATAAATAATTACAAGACAAAGAAGAAGGTGAAGAAGAGAAGGAGGAGGAGGAGGAAGAAGAGGAGGAGGAGGAGGAGGAGAAAAGTTTTTTTTTTTTGTTAACAAAATAGCAAGCCTCAAGTTAAGAAGGCAAAACACTACCTTAGGCTGTATTATAGCATCAGAATTTAGTTTAACACAAGGTAGCATCTTGTGTTCAATATACACATTCTGTCATTCAAACACAAGCTCTAATCTTTCTATCAAATCACTATTCAGGGAAGATCTGAATAAGGCCATGGTATGCTGGAACAGTCAAGAAAACCCTGGGATAAAAAGCAAAAGTGACATTACAACGTAATCCTACTCAACTTTATCTCCCTTGAATGAACTGCAAGAAAGATGATGGATTACAGTAAATTGAACCAAGAAGTAAGACAGATGGGGAATCTAAGCTGTAGAGGACCGAATCTTGGCTTAGCAGCTAGCCAGCTCTATGACACTGAACTGACCATACAGTTAATATGAATTACCAAAGAAACAGGGAAGGTAAGGGAGATGGAGGGAAAGAGGGAGAGAAGGAGGGATCAAAAGAGACACATCCTCATGAAAATTTAAAGGGATGATAATAAAAATGTGCCAGAGTTGTTAGTAAAATGAGATGCTGAATCATAATGGAGGAGCACATTCAGAGTTCAAAGGGTGATGTTTTTCAACACAGAACAGTATAATCGTCTCTTATGAAAAGTTTTAGTTTCTTACCAAGAAGCTATATTTTTGGGTAGCTATAGTTAGTGCTTTTTAATTTTTGTCCTATTTTTGGTACTGGAGATGGAGCCTAGGGCCATGTGCATGATAGACTCATGCCCCTCCACTACACTTACAACCTCAACCCAATTCTTGAGTCAATTGCTAAGCAAGAATAGAATATGGAAAAATCCTCTTTTCCATTCCTGGTTGAAGAATCATCAAAAGTTCCAATCAGTCAGGATACAACCTCTTCTTGGCTATATATTACTTAAGATTATATTGTACTTCTAACCAACATCTTCAAGGGCTTCTGAGAAAGACTTTTGTTTTCTTGATGAGTTAAGATAAAGATCTGGAGGAGGTGTCTTTTCCTCCCGCACCCCTTTACCGGACTCTAAGCCAGTTGCCTGTGGTTATTATGCTTGGACTGGGTAGTGACTAGCCAACACAGTGTGGATGACCAAGTTGAACCTGGGTCACTGATAACATTGTTTAGCTACCATTCAAGCAGGGTGCTGCCCACCTCCAGATTTCCTGTGATGTGATACATTTAAAAATCTCTAATGCCATTGGTTGCAGAAAGCATTATAAATGATCCGTGGGCCAAATGGTTTACCAGGTACAAGAAGTGATAGTACCATCATCAGCAAACCAGAAAGGGGTCAATTCTTTATTTCTCATAGAGAGATTTTTAGGACTGTACCTGAGGATGTTTTTCCTCAGTAATTTGACAGAGACAAGGAAGGAAAACAGCTTTCCCCCAAAGAGCCCTACAGGAAGTGATGGGATGGTTGCATGAAGCCTGACACCCACAAAGAGATGGGCAGACAGAAGAAGGGACTCCATCTGCAGACCCAGCGAGAAGGAGGCACAACTGGGTCATGTGGTGGAAGCTGGAGGTGTCTCTACCTGGTCAGTTGCTAACCATGATCTGTGGGCCCCAAATTTGTTGCCCCGTATATGTGAGTCTTGAGATGGAGAAAAGGTACAAAATTAATGACAAAGGCCAGGTGGTCTGTGCAGATAGATCAGTGTGTAAATGGCTTATCGTGCAAGCATGAGGGGCCTGATTGATCTGCAAAACCAATGTTAAATAAAGAAAAACCTGGTGGCCATGCCTGTATTCCTAGTTCCAGGGGGGCAGAGACAGGTACATTTTTAGGGCTCACTGGCCAGTCAGCCAACTAATCAGCACCCCCAAGACCAGAAAGAACAGCATGGACATGGTCCTCTGATCTCCACACACAAAAGCACACCATACACATATGCATGAACACACTTATACACACATTCATACATACACATACATACACACATGCACACACATGTATACATACACGAGCATGTCCATATACATACATATGTGCACACACACGACACAGACTCCACACAGCATATGAACTTGCACACACACAAAACAGAAGCCTATTCCAAACAATAAACATCTTGTACTAATGTGAAATGGACTGCATTATCATGTGATAATAAATGTGGCAAATTAAAGAAAGTCACTCAATCTCAGTAGGAAACATGTAAATCTTGGCATGGCATCTATTTAGTTTTAGCAAGAGAGCACATTTAAGCAGTTTTAAATTTTACATGTGAATAGTTGCTATAAAATCATGTAAATATGAATGATTTTTCTAGACAAAGATGCTTACTCATGGTTGTATGACCAAGTACACCTGTTATCCATATTGACCATAGAAATGTAGAGCCAATGTGAACCATGAATTCACACCAGTACCCTTCACTTACAAACTAATAATTGTCACTGCACATTGGTCAGCACAGATGGGATAAGAAAAATTATATGTGGTCTTTAATGTTAAAAATACTTAATATAGGGATTAGAAATAATAGTCTGAAATATTTTGGTAACTGGTGGAGACAAATTTCATAGATGAGAAGACCCTTTGCCTTTCATATTGGGTTATTTCTTCCCCGAAATCCCACCTCTAATTCTCTTAGTAAATCTTAAAAATTTATTTCCTGCATTTATTTTATTTGCTTATTTATTTATTTATTTATTTATTTATTTATTTAGTGTGTGTGTGTGTGTGTGTGTGTGTGTGTGTGTGTGTGTGTGTGTGTGTGCATGTCATGTGTGTCAAAGTCAGAGGACAATATTAGGGACTCTGTTCTCTCCTTCTACCATGTATGGCCCTAGGATTGAACTCATGTCATTAGACTTGGTAGTGAGGACCGACCCCCACTGAGGCATCTTGCTCATGCCATTGCCATGTTCTCTGTAAAGCATTCCCAGGAACCTGCCTCTTTCCCAGGCTCTTTTGTAGATGCTAAAATATCAAGACACATGTGAGCTCTCTCCATGTGAACAGGTGCTTTATAGTGAGCAAGAGAGGCAAGATCTGGTTATGCAATCAAATGAGGAGCTAGAATTGCATCAGTGGCTTTGGGGGACACATATTGGAGCTGGGGTGTGTAGATCCACACATGAGGACCTAGTTTGGGGATTTGGCCCCTCTCTGAATATAACAGATGGTCACTCGGGCCTGAGGACAGGTGTGAAACAAAGAAAGTATATGGACTATGGTGCAAGGTACAGAGAGGAACACCTCTATCTTTGTCACTTGTCCTCATGCTGTGACAAAAAGCAATTTAAAAAAGGACAGGCTTATTTGAGCTGACAGTTGGAGGGAGCCGTCAATCACAGAAAGGAAGTCATCTATTTCAGGTACTTGTTCATCCACTCAGGGAGTAGAGAGGACCCCATGGCACCGGGGTGTAGAGAATGAGGGGGAAAGAGGCTAAAGGGGATTCTGGGGGTGCAGGGTCTGCATTGTGAGGAACAAAGATCCCCTATAATAAGAGCCCTAGATTTACAAAGGCATGAATACACTACACAAAAATATAAGCATCAGCCCGTGGACTAGAGAGCCATATAAGGAAAGCAAAGATGATTATTGCTTTTGTGCTGGTGCCTGCTGTACAGGGATCTGTCTGTGATTCCTCTGTCTCCCCTGACTGTGGAGTGTGAGTTGTTTAAGACACAGACATACTCAGTTTGCCTTGCTTTATCCCACTATAAGTATATGATCAATGGATCGATCACATCTGTACTGGTCACTTCAGAAACTATCTAGTCAAGCTGCTCACTCAATAGATTTGGCAATGAAGGTTTTGATCTCTTCCAACTCCAGCATGTTAGCATCCTACCCCAGCATCCTAGAATTCCACCCCAACAACCTAGCATCCCATCCCAGCATCCTAGCATCCAACCCCAACATCCTAGAATCCCACCCCAGCATCCCAGCATCCACATAGTGCCTTCAATCAGCTTTCCATCTACTCAGTTCTGTCCAGTTGCTCCTACTCTACCCCAGCTGCCTAAAGTGGTCTAGACATAAGCAACAATACAAACATGAGTAGAATCTGGAAACTGGAGATAGACATCTACTTTCAGCGTCAGATTTTTATGGTTGGTTGTGATGACTCATTTGTATTGAAATGTGCCTGGCAGCTTTGTCTAAATCTGTCCTAATCATCTCTGCAGAGCAGAAGTTAATATACGATCGTAACAAGTCAGTCCTAATGATGGCCCTCTTTGGAGCAAGCTTTTGCGATCTTGGGAGGAATCCCACCTTGGGGTCAGAGGTGCAAAGTCTCTATATTCCTGCCCCATCTGCCAGCTCACCTTTCCTATTAAGAGGCTGGAAACATAATGAGGAGACAAGCACCACAGATGCCGCCGCTTACAGCATCCAGAAGAAGCCGTCGGAACGGGTAGGACATGAAAGGATAATTTTGCTTATACAAAATAGCAGACTGCAAACTAACACCAAGAAAAACAAACAGGCAGATGGAAGGAGTGGAGAAGACACTGGTGCAGCTGTGCGCAGGATTTAGACACCCAGATGCAATGCAATTTGGAGGGGAGGGGGACGGGAGGTGAAGAGAACTCGAAAGAATAATCCAGAAACAAAGCAAAACAAACATACGGACGAGTAATGAGCTCCACGTCTTCCCACACGCAGGTTGGATGGACTCTCTCACAGACATTGATCTCCTCAGACCATGGTGGTGGAGGGTCATTTCCTGGGGCACGGATGAAGAGGGCTTAAGGGAAGACAAGATATGTAGGCGTCCATGCTAGCAGAAAGCAGCGGCAGCAGTAAAATCCACAGCTGCGATTGCCAGGGAAGAGGAAAAAAAGGCAAAGATACCTAGAAGACAGTGAACAGCGGGGGTTAGTGCTGTTATCAGCTGCTCTTCACATAGCTGCACGTGTGCATGGCTGCATTCTTTACCAGGGGTGGGGGAGAGAGAGAATGCCTCAGGCTTGAAGAGGAGCCAGGAAGTGGGATTCATCACCCACGGAGTTTGCGCTACCCCTGTGCTGCTGGGATGGAAGCTGCAAATATCATCTTCATTAAAGCCTACTTTTTAAAAAAATGACAGCAAATTAACAATAACAACAACAACAGCACAATCCTCATGGATGTACCATCCTAGTTCTCTCTAGAAATTAGGAAGCTGAATCTGTAGGGGGAGGAACCAGGATTGAACCTGAGGTCTCTGTTATACCCTAGAGAATATGCTCCAACCATGAGAATGACCAGAAAAATGACTTCTGCTCTGTAAAACCAAACATAGCACTCAAGGGGAGCACCAAGAGTTGTTTGGGAAACTGAATCAGAGGGAAAGTTCTGTCAGGAAAAGGAACCTCATGGAAAGTACATTGATTCTTCTGGGCTGTCCTAGCAACTCTCTCTCTCTCTCTCCCTCTCCCTCTCTCTGTCTGTTTGTCCATTTTTACTTTTCTTTTGCTGTGGGCCTCTGGATGAAAGACACGTGCGGTTTCTCATCTTCATATCAACTCAGGAAAGTTTAATTCCGCTTAGGTCTACTGTTCAGCCAGGCAGTAGGATGCCTTGCTTATAGGGTGTCAACATGCATAACAGAGCAAGCTCTGAATACATAATGATAAAGAGGTGGTCTGGTCTCTGCCAGCCAAGAAGTCCCCCATCAGAACTGGCTCTTTTTTTCCCCCTTGAAGTCTCAGGATGTTATTTGGCACCTCCCCATCTCCACCTCCTGTGCTTATGACATCCTATATTTCAGGATGGTGATGGCATCCCTACCCAGAGCTATTTATGCTGGTGTGTGTTTTTCTCTCCACTTCCTTGGAGTGGCCTGGCCACACAAAGGAAGTGAGTCCTTATTGTAAACGAAATACCGTGTTTCTTTCTAAACGAAGGTTTCCGTGCCTGTAGAGCCTCTTGTACACACAGTAGATACTCGGGAATGTTGCTCCTTTTACCACCAATTCTGCTTTCCTTCCCTGGGTTCTGGGAACAGCACAGATCTGGGGCACAGTGAGTGTGGGCTCCTCTGGGGTAGGGATATTTGCTGATCCACGGGTCCCCTGCCTGAAGCTGCAGTGTGTGTGGGGGTGGGGTGGGGTGGGGGGGCAGGGTACTTCTTTCTCTGAGTATGTGTCCTTTCATGGGAAGACAGACAATATAATTTCTGCATTCCAGTTCCTGGGTTGTTCACAGCAGCTATTCTGGGGAAGGGGGAAGAAAACCTCCCAGCACTTTCCCTAGAGAAGAGATGCCAATGTCAACCGTTAAAAAAACGTCATTAAAGCAAATGAGAAACGGGTTGAGGACATTTTTATGAGCCTAGAATACTGTGCTTGGGAGTTTTATGGAGACCACAGGAAGCCGGAGAGACAATCACACTCATAACCTTTTTTTAGAGTCTGGTGGTGATCAATCTTTGTGCTCAACAAGAGTGTGTTTTGGAAAGGGGAAGTTACCATTGGGGACCACATAGACTTTTTCACAGAGCTTGGTGGACCCAGTCGAGAAAGAATGCTCCAAGTTAAGTTGCTGTGGGCTCATTTTCCAAATCCTTCCAGAATTGCAGCAAAACCCTTCTTCACAATCTCGGCCCACACCAAGAACTAGTCTTTTAAGAATGTGTTCTCTGCTGAAATCTCAGTGTTTGCCACGTGACACCGGCGATCTCTGCCTGGTACTTTTGTTCTTTCTTCACATGAAAAAAACGAAGCTCAGAAAGTCCAATGCATTTGGACAGATGCAGACATAAAAAGAGAAGGAATCTGCATGGGACTCACCCATCTCCCGTTAATCATGCTGTCTCCCCATCCAGCCTTAGAGATGCAGATTTATGGCAGAAATGGAGAACAAAACTATGCTTAGAGAATTGTTCCCAAATGAAATCCTGTGGGTTTCTGCTGAGGGTCACAAGCTGAGCAATGATGCACGTCTTTGTAAACCATTGTCTTTAATGCATTTCCACACAGGGAGGTGCACACAGTTCTAAGGGTTTGCTTTCTGCCTTCATAGTCTTAGAAATGTGTTTTCCCTAGAGCCTCAGAAGAGATCCAGAATACTCCTGACATGCCTCACTCTCCTATGTACACTGACATCTCGTGGTAGCATCCTGTGACTGCAGTCTGCATTGTCTCAGGAGTCAGATTGGGCATTTCATTATCAATTGTTTAATGCATTAAGGGAACTAGAACTTACTAAGGACTTGGTAGGCATCAGGAATTGTGCTGGGCACCAGGCAACATTAAGACACAATCATAGAAAGACTGTAGGAAAAATCAGACAGACTATTGTAGGAAGTCAACGTTCATAGATATAATCCAGTTTGCATCCCCTGTGGGTTATACAGTGGGTTTACTAAGAATTGTACCATTTGTTGGGGATTTACTATCTTTACAGCAACTGCAAATGGTGAGGGTCATCATTCAGACTTCAGATTTGAAACAACTAAAGGTGTGGAAGCTTACTTACTTAAAGCATCCCATTTTAAAACACAAGAATAAGCCTAGTGTATGAACTACTTTAATTTTCACCAGTTATCAAAATCAGAAGTTTACCTCTAGTGAACAGGCAACACTGAAAGATTCATTCTAATGACTGGATGGGATGGGAGGCAAATGATCCCTGAAGAGTAACTGAGTTTAGGGCTGAACAGTTGGCTCAGCAGATAAGAGTTGTTCTTGCAGAGGGTCCAACTTTGACTCTAAGCATCCGTATTACAACCACCTGTAAATTTTTACTCCAGTGAATCTGGCGCCCTCTTCTGGCCTGAATGAGCACTTGCACTCATGTGCACATGCTCACACATGGACAAGCACAAAGGCACATAAGTAAAATTATGTGAGTTTGAGGCCAGCCTGGTCTCCAAAGCGAGTTCCAGGAAAGGCGCAAAGCTACACAGAGAAACCCTGTCTCGAAAAACCAAAAAAAAAAAAAAAATCAAATCTTTAAAAAAAGCAGCAAAAGTTTATTCTGTGTGATTTAGGCCATAAAAAATGAGTTAGCAGATTTCCTGTGTGGATCCTGGTGACATCCTCTTTGTCTTAACTTGATTCACCAACCTAAAAGCCTACTGTTGGCATCTTTGTGCATGTATTTGAGCTCGTTTTCTTCTGCACACTCCTAAATACATGAATGTATAAATAAAAAGAGGTGCATATTATGTGTGCTGTTTTGCAACTTATTTTGTCTAATTTGCTAGTTTTCTTGCTGTATTGCAACCTACATGGACCATATTTACAGTATCCAAGCAAAACTCACAGTTATATGGGTGAGGAAGAACACCAGGTGGGCTGGTCTAGCATTTCTGTTCAGGATTCCAGAGGAAGCCAAGCCCTGTGCCCACTGGAATCTTATGTAGAATCTACCCCAAGCTCATTCACGTGTGGCCAGGATTTGGCTTGCTATAGGACTCATGACCCGTTTCCCTGAAGAATGCTCCTCAGGAACAACTTTTAGGTCCTGAGGTTGTTTGGAGACCTCTGTTAGAAATCCATTTGTCTGAGAGATCAAGACTCACTGCTCATTCCTCTGACGTTCTTTTCTGCAACTATGTAGAGAAATAAGGACTCTTGTCATTAAGTTAGATCAGCTGCTTTAAGCCCACCCAACTAGTTGTCCTTAGTTACATCTTCAAAATCCCTTTGGAATCCCTGGGGATGCCAGCAGGGTGGCTAGTCAGGGGCTCCTGTAGAATTCCACAGTAACAATTACGCTTTGGGGCTGAGGGGGTAGCTCTGTTTGCAGAGTTCTTAGGCCAGGTTTCCATCTCTGCCATACATAGATCAGCAGGCACAGCTACTCATTCCTGCGGTCCCAGAGCTCTGAAGGTAGCAGAGACAGGAGGATCGGAAGCGCAATGACATCTTCGGCTACATAGAAAGTTCAAGGCCAGCCTGGGATATTCAAGACACTATCTCAAACAAACAAGCAAGCAAGCAAGTAAACAAACAAACAAAAGCTACCATTTTATCAATGTGTGTGTACAAAGAGTCTATGCTGTGCAAAATTCTAACCACTTCACTGACTCTTCATTCATGGAACTGACACACTAACGCTGTTGGAAGATGTGTCCTCTACGTCATATTATCGAGCATGCCTGCTGTCTTCCCACTTCCATCCAGTTCATTTCACACAGGCACCACCACAAGGACTGACATAACCATCTGCTCCTGGTCTGGTACACATGACTTGCAACATTTCCTCATAGTCAAGGATGCAAAGCCTAAACCCATTTCTAGTCCTCACTTATCTTTCTGATGCCCCTCATTTCAGAGACTACCTGACAACCTCATCCATCTGCTCCATCACTCAGGCTGTATCCTGCCTCATGTTGCTGCATTTCTCCACTCAGTCTCTTTTCTACTTCACTCCAGATTCCCCTGCTAGGGACCTAACACCTGCCTCATCTTTAAGACTCAACTCTGACATCATCTCCTTCAAGAAGTATTCTCCAGATGCTCTTCTTCCAAACACAGAGAGAGAAAGTTAATGACTTTTTTTTTTCATTTTCTTCTGCATCACTATCATCTGTTCCAAAGATGTCACCATGCTCTGACTGTGTGATAAACACACATATTCAGACAGCTAGGCATAGGTGAATTCTCAGTTTCTACTGAGCAATAATCATAGAACAATTTAATAGTCTGTGTTTTCACATGCTCTAATGCCCATTTAAATTTCTATCACACTCCTACTTCCATCTCTGTCCACCCTTTCCTCCCGTGTTGACTTCTCTCATTGATCATCTTCTACTTTGATGATAGCCCACAAGACAACTGGATCTTTGCTGGAGAGGACAGATGATATTTCCTTTCCGGATAGTTTGTGTACTAGTTAATCACAGCACGGAACGGGAAGATTATTCTCCTCTGGCTAATTCCGGAATCTCAAAACTAAAAGTAGGACCTCCTTTACATTCCTAGCTGGGAAGAGCATCATTGCTACTGATTTCATATGCACAAATGCATCCTGGAGCCCAGAGACTGCAGTTCCTGGGAGAAAGGAAGGAATTTTCATTGAAAGTGCTTTGCCTGGCTCTGCAGACCTCTCTGAAATTAACTTCACATGTTATCCAGGCCACTCTGTGTTGCCATGGAAACCAGCATGTCAGCTCAGCAAAAAATAAGATAAAGATTAAGAAGAAACCACAGATGCTACAACCTTTTAAATAATTTCTCTCTTGTCTTTGTACAGGTGTGTGTGTGTGTGTGTGTGTGTGTGTGTGTGTGTGTGTGTGTGTGTGTATATGTGTGTGTGTGTGTGTGTGTATATGTGTGTGTGTGTGTGTGTGTGTGTGTGTGTGTGTGTGTGTGTGTGTGTGTATGTGTGTGTTTGCAGGCATATGAGTGCACTTCAAAGCAAGCATGAGTCTGAATGAGAGCTTGGTGTGTGTCAAACAATACATTGTTCCCTTTCCCTGAGTGTGTGTGTGAGTGTATGTGCCTGGGTGAGATTTTTTTGTTTTCCTATCTCAGAATGGGGACCATCCAGTCTGCCTTCACAACTGTGGGGACTCCTTTAGACAGTTGGTTCAGCTTATGAGACCAAAAAGAGAAGCTCTTCTATTAATATCTAAATGACGTCTTAAGAAAATAATAATAATATTGAAAAACGGTTATGTAAGGAGAAAAGCCCACTATTGGCCTGAGGACTAAGTCACATTCCACAGGAAAGAAAATAGAAAGCGGTGGTCAGTGTTTGGCTAATGCCTCTGCTGTTAGGCTGGGTCTGCAGTCCAGAGCCAGGGGAAACATTTCAATGAGTTCTCAGAGGGTCCTGTAGAGGTTTCTGTTTCAGGGAGTTCCTCACCCAGGCAGAGCAGTGGGAACATGTTCCCCATGTTGGAAACTGCAGCTGCAGGCAGCAGTCACATTACACTGCACTTTGAAGAAAGGTCTGCCGAGAAGGCCAAGGGCTGCCTTACAGTCACTGAGGCAGGTGTCCACTCAAGAGAGTGGCAAGATGAAAGACCCCGAGTCCCTGAGCGATTGCAGCAGCTTCATCAGCACTATGTGAGATGTTCTCACTTAGAAGTGTGTGACTGCAGGTGAAGCCTGGAGTTTC